TGCACTGGGAGGGGCGAGAGGGCCCAGCTGGGTGCAGGGCTGTGAGTCCCATGCGAATCCCAGCTTCTCAAGCCTGGACACAAAGCAGAAGCAGTTAGACACCACCTGGTTTCTACATTTTCGGGAGCCCTTCTCTATTGGGTCCCACGGCCCCACACGTGTGTACACATATGTACACACGCATGTACACACACACACACACACACAGGCCCATGTCCTGCTGCTGTGGGCATCAGAGGAAGCCTGGAATCACTAAACGAGGATACTGCAGAGGCTCCTGTGCCGATGACGTCAGCGTCTGCTCAGACAAGGCTGCTGAGGCCGGGGCCCCTCACCTGGTCTGGTGCACCCACCATGCTGCCCTGCTTCTGAGCAGGTGCCTCTGAGGCTGCCAAAGCCCTGTGGCAAGTCCACGGAAACCCAGCACCACGGAGGGAGGCGAACTCAACTTTGCCAGGGGATCACTGCCTGATCTGTCACCAGTGTCCTGTTTATACTCAAGGAATGAATGGCCTTGTCCCTGAGCACCGGTGACCATGTTCATTTGCTGCCAAAGGCAGAGCTAGTGAGAAAGGGCAAGGCAGGGGAGGCTGGCTGGGGAGGAAAGTTCTGACCTGTCAGCCACGGTGGCCTGCAAAGCCCCCAGCGTGCCTGCCCTCGGTGGGGTGAGACTTTGAACAAGTCGCATAACTACTCTGGGCCTTTGCCTCTTCACTGTAAAATGGGGCGGTGATGGCTGTACTGAGGATGGCAGCGATGAGCGATGCAAAAGCTTCATGGGGCGGTGTGGGGGTGACGGAGGGGAGGAGTTGGCGCCTGCTCCACAGTCCCCCTGCCGCACTGGGCCTGCCTTTCCTCACACCCACCAGTGAGTGCTTCCTGCAGTAAGAGCTGGGGTCCTGAGGTCCCAGACAAAGCAGCAAAGAAGAGCCTCTGCTGAGTTCACAGCAGCAGGGTGACTCCCCTTCGTCTCTTGCTTGACCCCCAACTTGGGGGCTGCTTGGTGGCACCAAACCCTCTGGGGCTCAGGGGCCACGATCATGGTCCCAGACCTCTATCCCACTTTCCTGAGCAGCAAGGTCTGGAAGGGGACTAGCTTCCCACCTCCTGACCCTGGCGTTCAGTCAGATGGGCTCCTGGCCAGACAGGTGAGGGGAACTCTGGTGGAAATGATCCAGAGGAAGCTTTCAGGACATCGCTGCAGCCCATGCATTTGGGGAGTCTTTCTTGGTGCGTAACTTTGGGCCCCTTGCTGAAGTTCAGATGTCTTTGGGGGAAGGGCTGGTAGCCGGGTGCTTCCCAAAGTCCAGACTCATGATCCAAACTTACTCATCATTCTGGCTACTACTGTGAACTACCAGTTCCAAGGATAAAAATGAAGGCTTGCTGGGACAAATCCTTCCCAGCAGTTAAACTTGGGCAAGATATGGCTCGGCAGGCACAAAGAGCGACCTGACAGTCAGAGGCATGAAGCACTGGAACAGCCCTGGAGGCAGTTAAGGCAGCTTCTTCCCGAGTTTTTAAGAACAGGGAGGGGACGTGGTCTCTCCAGCTGAGAACCCAGGAAAGAATCCAGTCTGTGCTTACACAGCACTCACCACGCTCTGTGTGCCCATCCAAACAGGTTCCAGGAATTAATTCATTTAATCCTCACAGAAAACCTAGATGTGAATCTTATCTTCATCCTACAGATGAGGAGACTGAGAAACACAGTTTGACTAAATTGCCCACAGTCAGAGTGAGTGGCAGAGCCCCACGGAACCCAGGCAACCTGGCCAAAGGCACCACCTTGCCCCTGAGACAGACTTCTGTGAGCTGACATTCCTCCAAGGAAATCACATCGGTCACCATGTGGGGTTGGGGGCTTCCTGGACCCCAGCTCCTCTGATCGAGTGTTGGAGGAATGTCATCTTGTTGCCTGTGTGATGATGGCTCACGTGAAAATTTAGAATTGTATCTGTCCAGCAGGCCACAGCAAAAGTTCCCATTTACTGAGTGCTTACTACCCTACAGGTAAGTATTATCACCTCTGTTTTACAGACAAAACTCACCAGACCTTGTCAGGTCACCTCATCACATGCTTTCAAAAAGCATCCTGCACGCTTTCCTAAACCTTGTCACGATTGTGATTAATTAGTTGTGTGATTATTTGCTCGGTCGTGTTACTTACAAGATCATACATGCCATGAAGGCAGGAACCAGGGCTGTTCTGTTCCCACTGAGTCTCCGCTGCCAAGCACAGCTCCTGGCACACAGTGGACTCTCAAAAAGTAGTGGCTGAACAACATAGAAACTGATGCTCAGAGCACCCAAGTGACCTGCCTCAGCCCCCTGGGATGCGAAATTCAGAATGGCCGGGATCTTGTCTGCCGTGTTCACCGTGGCACCCACAGTGACTAGAACACGGCCTGCACCAAGCCGGTGCTCACCATAAGCACTTGCTGAATTAATAAAGTCGCACACTCTGTAATTAGTGGCCCAGAGATTTGAACCCAGGCCTGTGGGGCTCCCAGCCTCCACGGCTTGCTGCTTCCTGCTTTACTCACAGCCCCAACAGAGTCAGCACCCACTGTCACTCCCCTGGCGGCCAGTCCAGCTCTGGAAGAGCATCCCTGTCACCCGGGACCTTCCGCGTCGTCTGGCTCAAGAAAAGCAAACCCAGCTTCAGCCAGAACCTAGGTCAGGAAAGGCCAACTACCCATTCCAGTGTCACAGCCTCCGACTGCCCACGAGGGGACAGGGAGAGGACAACGGGCCACTCTCCCAGCCCAGTGAGCCCCAGCCTCCTCCCCTGCATCCTCACTGTCCCCACACCCAGCTCCTAGCCCACCTGCTGCCCCTCTGCTCTCTGAGGGGAGGACAGGAGACCCAGGAGACAGGAGACAGGACAAAGTCCAGGAAGTGACTAAGGGGCCACTAGGGCCACTGGGGCTGGGTGATACTGGCCTGGAGAGGACAGCCAAGAGGCCCCTGCAGTCACCTCCAAAGGCCACCCCTCCCCAGGTCTCTGTAGTGTGTGTATGTGGGGGCCCTTTGGCATTTGCCTGGAAGCTGCCTGAGGGTGAAAGGTCAGGAGAGCCTGGACTCAGCTCCAGAAAGGGTCTCCCTGCCCCTGCCAGGTCTGAACTAGCACATGCTTTGCCCAGGGACAAAACCAACAGTGGTCCTGAGACGGAGCCAGTTGCAAGCTCTTCTGTGGGGAAAGGGCAACGCTCACAAATGCCAACACTGTTCTCCTCCCCTGGTCCTGCTCTGTAGCAATCAGGCCCCAAAGCTGAAAATATGAAAACTGTGTTTGAATAATCCACCCCGCCCCCCGCAAAATGTTGCCTGTCCAAGAGCTAGGCATCTGTCCCCCAGGGGCATCCATCCAAGAGGCGGGCAGGGCAGAGGAAGGTCCCCCACGAAAAGCAGCCTGGAGTGAGGCTCCAGCTAGCACTTGTCATTCCCCAGGGGCATGGACAGGAGAAGGGCTGGGCTCTCTGGGCCAGGCCACAGTGTGCCCAGCCAGGACCCCTGGTGCTGACTCAGCCCCAGAGCCCTGACACAGGCCACTGCTCACCAGGACGCCAGGCACATCCCAATGCATCAGAGCTGCCCTGCCCCTCCCGCCAGCCCCTCTGGCAGGGCTTTAGGGGCACTGGGCTTGCCTCTTCTCTTTGGCTTCTCTGGTGGCCACAGAGATGCTTCCAGCAGCCTGGAGGCTGGACTTGGACCTAAGCAGGGGGAGATGACCTGGAGGGATTAAGGGCTGCCCTGCTCCCCACGGTCACACCCTCTGATGAGGTGCCCTGGTTACCAGGAGCTGGATGGATGGGTTGAGGACAATCTATCACACCAGGGAGCCTCCCCTCCAGGCAGCAGCAGGACGGGGGCAGGGGAGGGAGCGCTCCAGCTCTCCAGGTCTAGCCTACCCCCACTCCCATCTAGGCAGCCCTCTCTCCCCACTGCAGTGCCCTACTCCTGGGCCACCACCTCCTCTGTCCTTGTACTCCTTTATCTCAGCCGCTACAGGAGAAAGCAGTGGCACGCGCTTACTTCTCTAGCCAACAGCGAATGGGGGAGGACACTGCAGGGGGAGGGGGCTTTGTAAGCCCCACACACTCTATGGGCTAGGGGTGTCCTGGAGGCACCTGCGGAATGTGGGAATGAAAAGGGGGAAGGAGAAAGGATAAACCATCTATCTTTTTAGTTAAGAAATAACAACCCTGTGCCCTGAGATGGGGAGGAAATAGAGGAAGGGGAAGGGGGACCCTAAATGGGAGAGGTAAATGAGAGTCCAGAGAGCGGGTGGGGCTGTCTTCACTTTCTGGGTCTGGGGCCCAGAGCTGGGGGAGGGCTGCCGCAGGAACGGGATGTCCTAGGTCTGCTGAGTCATGAGATTTGGAGAGAGGCGAGGGTGCCTTCAACCCCCTGTCGTCTCTGTCCCAGGTCCTCCTGACCCTCACTTTCAGATCATCCCCATAGTTCTTCTCCTCTCCTGCTTCCTGATCCAGGGTCTCTGCCTCCTGGAGCTCCAGGACCCTTCCTCCCTCGACGACGGCAGGAAGGGGGCCCCCAAAGCTTGAGGCAGGGGCAAAAGAACCTCGGCTGGAGACCCCTCAGGCGGGCAGGGGTGGGCAAGACGCGAGTGGGGGGCGTCCAGGAGACGCGGGAAGAGGGGTAGGGGCGCAGAGCCTGAGGGCTAGGGGACGTCGGCCCGCCCCTCTGCTCTGCAGCTCGTCCCAGGGGACCCAGGGCGGAAATCGGCTCCCTCCTCCCGCCCCGAACCCACAGAGCAGCCGGCTCCTCGCCGCTTTGGTCCAACTCCCCAAAACAAAGCTTCACCTGGACGCGTCCAAACTCCCCCCAAAGGACGATGCGGGCGCCCGGTCCCCTTGGCCTCAAAGTTCTCCGACCCCACCCACCCCCGGGAGTCAGACCCCACCGCGAGGCCCGAGGTTAAGCAGCAGAAACTTTGGAGGAGGAGGTCGGTGCCCCCACGGCGGGGACAGACTTACCGGGGCAGCCAGCCAGGAGAGACCCAGGCCCCCAAAGTGAGGGGCGGCGGGCTGCAGGCGACGGCCGAGGGGCGGACCGTGCTCCCAGCCCGGAGTCCGCTGCGTCCCGGCCGCAACTCGGCCCGAGTGTCTTTGCCGCAAGACTTGCTGAGCTTGCAGCCTGCGTCGTGGAGAGGGAGGCGCGCGACCCGGGGTGTGCGCTGCAGTGCGGGGGAGGCTGGGGGCGGGACTGGAGTAGGGCGGTGACCGACAGGAGGGGCAGGGGACCGGGAGGAGGGGGTGGAAACAGGGAGGAAGGAGAGGGGATCGGGAGGAGGGAAACAGGGAGGAGGAGACGGGGGGGGGGCGGAGACCCGGGAGAAGGGGAGGGGACTTGGAAGAAGGGGAGGGGACCAGGGGGAAGGGGGCGGGCTGGAGGAGGTGCAGGGGGCGGGCGGGCCTACCCTGCGGAGACCCTGGTCCTGTTCGCATGGCCCCTCTGGGCTCTCTGCGCCCCCATCGCCTGCTCAAGGTCACGGCTGATGCTCAGGATCAGGAAGAGCCGGACCGGGAACCGGGCCTCGTGGTCCCCGCGTGAGTTGGACTGTCTCTCTTGGGCCAGGTCCTTCTCCCCAACCTCCCAAATCTACTGCAGCTCGAGGCTACATTATTGGCCTCAGGCGCCCCTGTAGCCATTTGGGATTTCTAAGCCCACCCAAGAGAGGTAAGGCCATCTCTACCGTAGTTGTCATCCGGAGGGAGGGGTTTCTGATCCTAAAGGGTTAGGTGAGGAAGGGGAGAATCATTGGGAGAAGTTAAAGGCCGGTGAGAGAACAGGGCGGATAGGGGGAGAGGAAGGACTAGGAGACGGCAGGGAAGGAGGAGGAGGAACTGGAGGGAGTGGAGAGAACCATTTATTACAGGATAAGGGTTTTCACATACACTAGTTTCTTAATGTTTAGGACAGTCCTTTAAGGTGGGTACTAGGGCTGTCTGCAGGGAGACAACAGCCCCTGAATGGCACTTTAGCCAAGGAGCCGCAGACAGTGGTGGCATCCAAGGGTCCTAGGTGGAGCTCCTCCGTCCTAACCTGCCAAGGCAGCCAGAGGAGGGGCACCACACCAGGAATTCGTGGCAGCACAATCTGAATATTCACGAGCCCTTTTGGAGTCAACTTTGTAAGAGGCTGCAGCACCTGCCCCTCTCCCATGGGTGCTGGGAAGGTTCCCAGCAGGATGCATCTGACATTAGTCCTCAACACATACACACTCACTGAAGAGGGAGTGAGGTGGAATAATGCAAAATGAGAGGAAGCAAAGAGAAAGCGAGACCCGGTGGCCGGGTGGGGGGAGAAGCAGTGCTTTTTCAGACCACTTTGCCGAGACACCAGGTAGAACATGGAGACCGTCCCAGCCAGCTTGTCTCGAAGTGACAGAAGGCCAGGGGGTCCTATTGGGACTGAAGCTGTGCCTGCCCAAGGCCTGAGGTCATCCCGACTCACTGAGCAGCCTGGGCAAGGGGCCAGAGGACCAAGAGAGGCGCTGAGTCTGAATCTGTGATGGGGGGAACCCTACCACTCTGAGAAGCTCAGCCCCACATCCGCCAGAGCATCCTAGGACCTGCTGCTTCACCAGGGGCTCAGTCTGCTCCTTCCTGCTCCCCGCACTGACGATGAATCTGCAGGACATGGGCCAGAGACAGGGCTGCAGTCTCCTGGCACAGAACCCAGCCAGGCCAACTGGGCCGCCTTGCCACCCACCACTCCAATCAAACCCGTGTCGCCAGCTGGCTCCACTTCTAAGTGAGCCCGGGGACCCAGGGGCAGAGAACGGCAGCCTGCCTCCCAGGCTATTTAGAGTCAAGGCTGCAGTCAATCATTAAACGAAAATGGTGGTGTCCCTGGCTACAGCCCTGTGTTCCTTTAATTCTCCAGGACCAGTGGTGTGGGCTACACACCTGACCAGGAGCTCAGCAGACCTACACCCGCTCCTCCAGGCTCAGGAGCTGGGAAAGGAGAGGCTGGAGGGAGGGATGCCCACCGGGAGGGATGCCCACCCCCCACCCCCACCTGCCAGCTACCAGGTACTTCAATTTTCAACTGTTTGTCCTTTGAAAGATGAGCCCGCAATTTCTTAGACCACCGTGTCCGAACCGCTGGTTGGCCAGGCCACCCAGGCAGTCCCTCTGCCTCCATGTGGTGTCATTTGAACCCAGGAAGGTGGCAGAGGGCTGCCTAACTCAGAACTCTCCAGGGAGAAAGAGCCTGTAACCCCTTGTGATATAGCTTTGCCACTTTCTACTGAGAGTGCTTCCTGCTGTTTCACAGCTGGTTGTTCCCAGAACAGGCGGCAGGGAGAATGGAGTGGCGTCTTCCCCAACCCAGCTTTCCTGGGGACCCCAGCTCCAGCGCCCTTGCCCGCCCTGACCAGCTTAAACCCCATTTTGGCCATCTTCTCTCACAGGTCCACTGGCATTTGTACCTCCTCACACTTGGAGTGTCTCCCCTCTGCTCTGGGGACAACTTTGTCCTCACAAAGCTTCCAAAGCCCTGAAGTGGTCATAGAGCAAATATAGCAGGGCCAGAGAAGCCAGCAGCCGTCACACTAGCTCCCGGGTCCTACTGTCCCTCCCCCTCCCAGCACACACACGGTTCCTGACGCTTCGGTATCCCCCAACACACACACACCCATCACTCTCCGGAGTGGTCTGCCTCAGTGCGGAGAGAGGAGGTGAAGCTCTCCACTGAGGCGCACCTGCTTTACTGCGTGTGAGTGAAGGGTTTTAAAACTCCCCCCCACTTAGGTCTTGGTGACCTTCTAATCTGATTTCGTACATACCAAGCTTACATGTATTTTGAATTTACTTACGTTCATATATTTCATACTAAAGTCCACTTAACTTTTAAATATCCCATAAAAATGCTTTTAATACAGAAGATATTAACTCATTAGATGGGGCCAAAAAAATGAAACACGGATAAAGTTAAATATCACGCAACTCATACAGTATCTTAGGTTTTAATCAAAAATTTAAAAAAAAATCAACCCTGGTCTCCCAATAGCCAGTGAAGGCCAACTCCTCTAGGAAGCTGATTAAGTGAACTATAATTATTTATTCCCAGACAATGAAGAAAACAATAGCAACGATGTTAAAACCTGAGTCCAGTAAAACTACATACAGAACGGGGAGGGTGGGGAGGACTCCTTACCTGCAATTTCTCGTTGCTGGAGAGGAGGCATCTACGGTTTTTGGGACCATACCTGGCATGTAGAAGAAATTAAGGCACAAGGATGATAACCTCAGACTTTTTCTTAAATGGAGGTACTGGGGATTGAACCCAGGACCTCGTGCCTGCCCAGCATGCACGAGCTATGCCCACCCCCAACAACCTCAGACTTCTTTCAGACCCCAGGATCTAGTGAGTATCGCAGACCTTCCTCTTCTCACTTTCTTCTATCCCCTACCTTGTCTGAGAGTGAAAATGATTTTTCTCTGTTCTCAGAGTCAAAAGGAAGAATTTTAAACACCGAATTTTATAATCTTCTTCCTCCTTCCTCAACAAAGCACCAGTCACACAGGCTTGTGTCCCAGGAAATCCCTCTGGGCCTGGGATCTCAGTTCTCCTGGATTATCCTGCCCCTTCCCCAGACACTCCACTGACCCTCTGGTGAATCTAAAAATCAGCGGGAGATGCTGTGTTCAGGGTGTGATGGGCAGCCCTCAGAGCTGGAAGTCGCATGGCAGACACCCTTCCTTTCCAGCCATCTCCCATCGAGGTGGTGAAAAACAAGACAGTTGAGACACTTTCTGCATAGGAAACCCTGGCACTTTGATGTTCCCGTGCCCGTGAAACCTCCATACATCGAGGTCGTGTCTCAGAGCTGCCCTGGCTGTGCCCTGTGAGGTGAGCACCAGAAGCCAGGGCGGAGGACATCTGGGGAAGAGGCCTTGACGGATACATTGCTGGTTTGTGTGTCCCAGGGCCAGCTGCCATCCTCCTCTGGACCTGGGGCGCAAATCCGGAGCAAAATCTCCTAGACTTTAGACTCATTCACGTACCTGCATCTTATCCAGTCAGAACTTTCCCACCGCCAAGGATGCTGTCTGTCTGGCACCCTGCTAGAGGCTGGTGGTGTGGAGGCCAATACTACACACCCCAAAGGGCTCGTGGCCTCCTTAGAGGGTCACCTGGAAACTGCGTACTTCTACTGGAACCTGACAGGGACCCCTGACTCAACCTGGTCACCCCTGACAAATTGACTTCCAGTGCCTCCAGGGAAGACAGCAGCAGCAGGTCACGGTGGACAGGCTCACTGAGGGTCCGGAGGGAGGGAGGGAGACTCCAGCACCCGCCTGGGGACACTGATGTGAAGGCTGAGTAAGTTCATAAACCCAGAGCAGAGTCTCAACAAAAGGCAGCTACTATTCTTAAGCTTTAGGGAAAGGAAAACAGCCCTGCGGGCCACATGTGGTGGGCTGGGGGGCAGTGCAGGGTCAGAGGCGAGGACAAGGCCATGGCGGATGGGCTCAGCCAACCAGGCTGTTTGGATATTCTTCAGAAGCAAATGAGGACCACTGAGAGTATCTACACAGAGCAGCTGGTCAGGTTTATTTTTAGAAAAATCACCCGCATCTGGTGGGTTGGAGGCCCAGAATGGTCACTTCCCTGCTGGCTTCTCCAAGGGGCCCCTCGAGTGGGGTGCTGGCTAGTTTGGGTTCTGGAGCCCAGCTGCCTGGGTTCAAACCTGTCTACCTCCCACAGCCCTGGACACCTAACAAGTGAGTTCACTTCATGGGAAAGCGGGGAGGGCCAGGTACCCCACCCGTTTGGACACCCAGGAAGTTACATTGACATTGCTTCTGGCTCCGGGAGGCCAGCAAGTCTGATGATGGTTGTCTTGTCTGCCCCAGAGGTGGAGTGACGTCCCCAAGACTCCCCACGTGCAGCCTAGGCCTGACCAGAGTGGGTAAGGTTCAGAAAGGACTGAATTCCCCAAGCCTGACCCTGGCCCCTCAGGCACTGCCTCGCGTGTGGCCTCCTGCCTGGACAGAAGACAGCGGTTTGTGCAGCGAAGCCTACAAGTGACACGGCTTGTTGGCCTTTTGTCTGGGTGGTGGGTGTTGGGGAGTCTTCTGCTACCAGAGCCCTGACTTCAGAGGCCTGCCCGGTGCTGTGGCCCCGTTAC